CCCGCCAGCGCCGGCCCGCTGCCGTTCCTCTCGCTCCCGCGGGGGCTCTCGGCGCTGATACTGATCTTCTGCAGCGGGTCTGCCGGTCCCATGCTCGCCCCGCCGTCTCGCAGCAGCAGCACCTAGAAGGGGAAGGGCCTCGCGTTAGCGGGGCGGCGGGGCCCGGGACGAGCGAGGGGCGCCGCCGCCATGGCGGCCTGAGGGGCATGCGAGAGCGCCGCCATTACCCCCCCTCCGCGACCGCCACCCTGCCCGGCCTCGCCACCCCCGCGGCCCTGCGCGAGGGGTTCCGCAGCCGCCGGCACCTCCCGGTATACAAATTAAAAGGAAAATTAAGCGGCCCACGGCGTCACGCGCGGCGGCGAGGGGGTCACCCCGCAGCACGCACCAGCACCGCGATTCACACCGTAGCTGCCACGGAGCGCCCGAAGGCCGGCGCAGACACAGCGGCCTTTGCTGCTGCCATGGGCAGCCGGACACATTTCAGCGGAGCACAGCGGGCACGCCGCGGCAGCGCCCTGCTCCCCTGGCGCATGCGCAAAGCGCACCCAGGGCTTACACCAGCAGCGGGGCTGGCGCTGGGAAGGGAACTTAAAACTCATCCAGTGCCACTCCCTGATGTGTGTCCAGGGACACCTTCCACTGTCACAGACTGCTCCAAGCCCCGTCCAACATGGCCTTGAGAACTTCCACGGATGGGGCAGCCACAGTTCCTCTAGACAACCTATGTCAGGACATCCCCATCCTTCCAGGGAAAAACATTGTCCTAACATCTAAACTAAATTTCCTCTTTTAGTCCGAACCCATTCCCCCGTGCTCCTGGTGAGGAGTCTCTCCTTGTAGGCTGCTCCAGATACTGGAAGGCTGCTGTGAGATGTCCACAAAACTCTCTCTTCTTCCACAGAGGAGATGTTCTAGTCCCCATCCCGTCGCTCCACCATGGAACAGCACCACACAGCTCGGTGTCACCTGCTGAGGCTGCCTCAATCCCATTGTCTATGTCGCCGATAAAGTTGGTGAATGCTATTAGCCCCAGTACCACCCCTGAGGGACAACACTCGTCCCTGGTCTCCATGTGGACAATGAGCCACTGACCGCAACTTTATGTGCGGCTATCCAGCTAGTTCTTTATCCACCGAGTGGTCCATCCATCCAATTCATGTCTCCACAGTTTAGAGCCCAGGATGTCATGCGAAACAGTGCCGAACCCTTCGCACAAGCCCAAGCAGATGATGCCGGTTGTTCTAACCCATCCACCCATGCCGTAGCCCGGCCATAGCCGGCCCCTCACGGAAGGGGAGCACTGGGAGGTGGGCCTACTGAGCAATCCCAGCCATTCTATTGGTCAGATGAACTGCCACTCAATCACGAGTACCTCGATGATTGGTCAGAAGGCGACTATCCTCCCAGTTCCTCGGGGAAGGAGCGGAGCTTTGAGCGCATCTTCCCCCTTCCTCTTTTTCTATTGGTCAGAGGTGATGCCGATCATGGCGTTCCTGGGAGCCTATTGGCCAGCAGCGGCTCGCCGCCGCTGTAGGCGCGGCGGTGGCGGCGGGGCGGGCCCGGGGC